CAGTGACTGCAAAGCTCCGTGGAAGGGAAGATTTCCAAAGCTGCCATCTTCCTTGGACAGCAGGTTTGAATTGAGACAGGAACTGAAGTGCAGGATGTGACTCAATGCTGAGTTCAGCCTATCCAGGCTGTGGCACACCCCACCAGCTGAGAATCTGTGCTCTCCACAGGGGCCACAGCCACTCTGAACCTTAGGGTAATTCAGAGCACCTCTACTCAACTTGTGGCTTGGCATTGTTTCAGCTACCAGTTTACTCCAGAAACAGTGGATCATGGAGAACAAGGCCAATCAACATGTGACATATTTAAACAAGCAGCAAACAGCGATGCAACTCTTGGAAAAAACATAAATGTACCACCACACAGAGATTAAAATCATGCATCATTTTTTGCCTGGAGAGGAGGAAAAGGAAGTAGCCTGCTTCTCTCCCCTCTCCAACACCCATCATTTAGGGATGCTGCTCGCACAAGGATAAGTGCCTTGTGGTGATGCTTTCAATTCTGCACCTTCTAGGGAAGATAACACACTGTGGAGCTATTTTAAGAACATCTCATTCACAAAGGTCTCCAATTCTGTCTTCAGAGACAGAGACGATTTTCTTGCTGCTTCAACATCTTTACTGGCTTGACATTTGCTTCAGAGGGAATTCATTTGCTGTTCCAACATCAGAATGGAGCAAGAGCAGCTGCCAGGAGAGGGATAAAAGGAAACACTGTCGACAAAGAGCAGCAGGGTCATTTCTGGTGCAAAGAAATATAGAACAGAGAGAACCACAGAACTGACACTTTCTCCAGAAAGCAGCAGGGGATAAAGATGTCCCCTCTGCCTCCTGCAACTGGTGCTTAGGAAGGGACTAAACAATCAGGCTTAAGTTTGTAAATGACTAATTATTACAAACCAACTGTAAGCCCCTGAGCATTCCCAGTTAAAGCCAAGTTCATTAAATGCTGCAGTCAGCAAAGAACTCAGTAAGTCCTTCAGAACTCTCTAAACAAAACACTCTGGCTAGAAAGCTCTGCAGAGCACAAGCTCAGTGTTTAGGAGGTGACATTTTAGGGAGGATTTCAAGCTGCAGTGCCAGTCTTGACCATCATGTCTGTAGATGGAGCACACTGGACAGACTTGGGGCAGGGCTGTGATCCCACCACAACAAACTGCTCTGCAGGAGCCAGAGGGGCTGATGGGCCAGGGAGGCAACACAGCACCTGCAGAGTCTGATATCCAGCATCAGGAGAAGCTCAGTCTTGGATGACACCACCTGTCACTCACAGCAGCTGTCCCCTGCCCCATCCCAGGCACATCATGCTGCCCTGCTGCAGGAAGCACCATGCCATCACTTCACTGCTGTCCAAGGCAGTGCCACCTTCCCCAGTGCTGCTCTAAGGAGTCACCCTGCCTGCTGGCCTGACCGACAGCCTCACCATGGGTCACCTGCTCGGTTGATTACTCCATTCTGCTCCCTCTATCTTATTGAAATGTTGCCCTAAGCAGGGCAAGGATTTGTCCCTCATTCACAAGACAAGCAGATCCTGCCCTCCACCTAGATGAAGGAATATTGCCATCCTTTCAAAAGTTAAGACAGAAACCTTTATACACAATCAAAGCTAAACCAAAATATTCCTTCCCCTGCTCCTCTCTGAATTTTATTAATGGAGGAATTTATTATTTTCCAGTTTCATGGATAAAAGGTTTTAAAGACAAAAACTCTGGAAAATTATTCCTTGCAAAGAAAAGGGCTAACATACTCGATTAACAGCAATTTTAATCCCATGATATTTTGTGTATATGCTTATTTTGTTGCACGTAAGGATCACAGTTTATTTGGAGCGTGGTATTTATCTGACTAACCAAACCTGCTCAGATTCACAGGCATGAGCACCATGTCTCTGACACCTTAAGGGCTCCAGCATCAGGATTTATGAATTAAATATTGCCAGGGTGTTACAGAACACTGAGGACTGTATCTGCAGAGTGTTATATCAGGGTATGTGTGGGCTTGTCAAACACCCACATGATAAATTATCAATAGTGCAGCTCAGAGCACCCCTTTTGTGGATCAGAGACAAATCTGTGCATTTTATTATGCTTTGTTCCACTTAATGTTATTTTTTTCTGCATTAAAGGTTCACAAAACCCCTACGTGCCTAAATGCTGAAGGACATTCATACACAACACATGATCAAAAGACTTATTCTAATATTTCAAGTCCTGTTTTCACAGCTAGTTCATGTGGGACAAGAAAAAAATGCTGACAAGTTATGTCTGGAACTGGACAATTACATTTTATACTGTTCAAGATGATACAATCTTTTGTATAGAATTTTAAGGTTAAAACACTGCTAAGGAGCATTAAAGAAACAGGACTAGCTGATTACAAAGTGTCTACCATTCCTTGCCAGTATGCAGAGCACTGTCAAAGAGATTATACCCCTGCAAACCAAGTGTCAAATCTCAGAGCAAAATAAATCTCTCAAGAGTCAGAAAAGACTAAACTTGAAGCTGTGGATTTTCAGAAATGAACAAGTGTGAGCCCTGTGTTTCTGATGCACAGTATTGACTTCTACACACAGTAACAAACCTCTGCTGAGGAAACAAAGGGTCTATTAGGTGAGCACTTGGCAGGTTTCATGTTTTCCTTACTACCCTTCTGCTTTTTCCTTACTTAGTTCCCTATGAATCAACTTGATCTTGTCCTCCTTAACTTTCAGAGCACGAACAGCCTAAAAGCAGTTGAACTGAGAGCTCTTAAGTTTCACAGTGTGACAGAGGCCAGGGACACCAGCTGGAAGCGTTTATGAATGCAGTGTGCAAGGCAGATACACTGGGCAGGGTGGGCCACCCAAGGCTGGCACCTGACAGAGCTCCATGTGGGCACCAAGATAAATGCATCCCTCACCAGGCTTCACCTCACTGAGGGGGCTGCTGCAGCTGCCAAGGGCGCACACAACAACATGGCTGCAGCATTCAGTGCATCTGAAATCAATACACCGGGTCCTAGATTTTACCAACATCTACAGATGGAAGCTGGGGAGTGTGCTTTGGAGTGATCTGGTCAAGGACTGTCAGGAAACACGTGCCAGGACTGCAAACCCTGCACTGCTGCTGCTGAGAATCCACCACCATGACAGCATCTAACAACACTTTCAGGCTACTTCTAAGGCAAGACACTTATTTACCCAGTAAAGTACCTAACTGAAGAAACAGTTAAGGTGACACTGTGTGCTCAGACTTGAATAATGGCACTGAGAAACTGACCTGCAAATACACTGAGAACCCAGCTTCCCATACAAGGATTATTAGGCCACTGCTCCCTTTACTACTTGAAAGGTTTTGCAGAAGAAATAGAAAAGTCCATAATGAAAATGCGTGGGAGAGTTTTAAAAGCCAACACAGCTCTATGGCCTTTTGTACCCACTTCCTTCCCTCTCCCCCACACCACGCCCCCCAGAGCCCGAGGGGAAGCAGAAAGCAGGAGAACCCTTGGGGTGGGCTGTATTCGGACCCAGCTTGTTATCAGCTCCCACAGAAACCTCAACCAGATAGCTACAAATGTGAGCTCTAAATAAGTATTCTGTCTCTTCTTCCAACAGGTGATATAAAATGGCGGTAAACCAAAATTTGCTTGCTTTTTTTTCTTAAGTGCAGTCTCTATTTTTAAAATGGTGATACGACAGCAAAACTCTGATATAATTCCAGACTGGACTAGTAGTAACCGTATTTCCAAATGCAACAGGGATAGTTTTAACAAAGGAACCCATCTTCAGTCCTGCAAGACTTTTCTTGATTACATTCTCAAAGAGCAGGCAAAAAATACCAAACCCCATTGCTATAAAGTATCCCCAAGGTATCAAACCCATTCTTGCAAAGATTTTGCACTGAGGTTTCGGGAATCACAACAGGCTGTCACGTTTACACTCCCTCTCCCCGCAGAGGAGCCCGATGCTGTCCAGTTTTCAGAGACAAACAGAAAGGACGGGTGACAGGACTGCACCTTCAGGGACCTGCTGGTAACACCTCAGCACTGCAGCTGTCCTGGCACAGCTCTGCTGGGCTCTGTTCTGCCCAGACAGGAGCCAGGGGCAGCGAAGGAGAGGCTGTCAGCTCCCTCCCCTCAGTCCCTGACTGCGTCTGAACTGCTCAGTTCAGTCACTTGAAGGAACCTTTTTATCACCCTCACGGTAATTTAACTCTACCACCATGGGAAAGGCTGCAGTAACCTGGGAGAGTTTTTCTGAGGTAAAACTATTAATCAGATATGATTAATATTCACATGAGAAAATGGAAGGTGTTAAAACTGTCGAGTTTTTACCCACCCCTGTGTTTTAGGGAACACTGATGCCTTACGCAAAGACACTGCAGTCCCCAGGCATGCAGATTCATAGCGTGAGGGAACCAGTCATAGCGTGAGGGAACTAGAACAACCAAAGAATATTTCGGTCCTGGTTAACACGTACCTCGCAGTGTGAACACCCTGAGCGTGTTCTGAGCACACTGAAGGGCGCCTCGCAGGGACTGCCTCGGGCAATGGGCCACGGCCGCGCTGCTGGGAGCATCTACACCCTCATTAGCGCTTTAATTCCCTTTCCTGCCAAGGGGAGCTCACGCGCGGAGTGACAAGGTGCCACCACGGGCTGCCACAGCCCAGGGGCCCCGCTGCCCGCCCCGCATTCGCCGCTCTCCTGTCCTTAGAGACTGAAAAACAGGCCCCAAAGCCCCACAGACCCTCACACCCTTCGCGGGCAGCCCCCGTCGGCCGCCCGTGCTGCGGGACCGGCCCCGGCGGGACGGAGCGGGCTCGGCCTGCAGCCAGCGAGAGACGAGGGCACCGTGACCCGGGCGGGAGCAAAGAGGGCACAGAGGAGCCGCTGGCGGGCACTGGGGCCGGGCAGTGGAGGGCACCAGGACAGCGGGACCCGCAGCCCGCCCTCACGGCGGCTCGCGCTCCGCTTCCCGCCGCCCCCTCAGCGCCCACAGTGACCTCGCGCGCGCCGCGTCCTTACCTCACCCCGCCCCGGGCCGCTATTGGCCCCGTCCGCCGCCCGTCAGCAGAGCTCCTCCGCCCATTGGCCGCCTGCCGCCTGTGGGCAGGCGCAACGGCCGCTTCCTCATCCGTCACGCGGCGCCGCGCTCCGTGATTTGTGGAGCGGCGGCTCCTTCACCGCCCACCGGCTCCGACCACTGGTGAGGAAAGCCGTCGGTCACGCCGCCGCCCGCCTCCCAGTGCCATTGGCCCAGTAACCTCTTTTCGGGCTTTCGTTTCTCTTCATTGGCTAATTGGATTGGATGGGCGGCTGCGATTGGGCGAAAAGCGGGTCCCGGGGGCGGGACTTGGCTCAGGAGCAGAGTCCATTGGCTGGCAGCCCGCTGTGAGTGGCAGGAAGGTGAGGGAGGCGGAGCCGCCCGGGGTGAGGGTTGTGTGAGGTGAGGGAATCTCGCGGGGTCTCGGCGGCTCCGGGCGCGGCGGCGCACGGTGATTGGCCGGCGGGGTCACGGGGGCGGGGCCGCGCCGTGGGGGGGACTCTGCACGGCCGCGCGCGGTGGGCGGGGCGCGCCGGGCGCCGCGCGGTGATTGGTCGGGGGCGGCTCTCGCGCAGCCCAGCGGGCCGGGCGCGATTGGCTGCGGGCGGCGTCGGGCGCGCGCCCCGCAGGGGGGGGGGAAGCGCGTGCCCGCGGCGCGGCGCGGGGCGGCGGGACCAGGTGAGAGCGGGGCCGGGGCCGGGGCCGGGGCCGGGCGGGGCGGGGACCCGGGGCCGCCCCCAGACCCTCCCGCCGCCCGCACCGCGGGCCCCCTGCCCTCCACCCCCGGCCCGACCCCCCCGGCCCGGCCGGCCCCGCCCCGCCGCGGGTCGCGCTGTCAGGGGCCGCTGCGTCCTGCCCCGCGCCCCCTTCCCGGCCCCGCGCCGCCCCGTCATTCATTCGCCACTTTTCCCCTTCCTTCGCCCCCCCCCGCGATCCCTGTCCTGCCCCGGCCCTTCCCTTCCTCTTTCTGTTTTGATCTTCTTTTAGCCCCCTCGCCCCCTTCTCCTCGCCTTGCGCCCCCCCTTCACTTTCTCTGGGTCCTTGTGTGTGTTTCAGGCCTTCAAGGAAAAGTTGCAAACTCCCGAGTTGTTGCTGCTGTGAGGGAGCAGGTGCCTGGAAGGAGGGAGCAGGTGTCTGGAAGGAGGGAGCGATGTAGGAGGTGCCCGGGCTCAGGGAGGTTCGGGGGACACATGGAGAGGGTGTGGGAATGGCAGGGCTAGGCTGGCCAGCCCTCGCGGGGTGTTCAGGGCAGAGGCTCCGAGCCCTCCCTCCGGAGGGAAGGGGGATTGATCACGGTGTTTAATTTTTATAACAAGAAAAACAACAAAAATTACCAAAAGTGAAGGAAAAAACCCACCCCGGCCCCACCCCAGCTGCCCAAGGATGGAGTTGGAGTAGCCAAGCCCGGCTGGATGCTGGGGAAGGGGTTGGCGCCCGCACACATGAAGAGACTCCCCGAGTTGTTTGGCTTCGCGAGGAGATAAGGCCAGTGGAGCTCCATGTTTTTAAAGGTGGGCCGTGTATGATGAAACCCAACTTCTTTTAAAGTGTAGCAGATTTAATTTTTATGGCCAAATGACAGCTTGACCCAGTTGTTATCCAATCAAAGGGCATTTTTTTGAATGTCTCTTTGTGGCACAACAGCCAACGCAAAAATGATGGCGGCTTACAATGGCGGTACGTCTGCGGCAGCAGCAGGTCACCACCACCACCATCACCACCACCTTCCTCACCTCCCTCCTCCTCACCTCCATCACCACCACCATGCTCAGCACCACCTGCACGCCGGCTCGGCGGCCGCGGTGCACCCCGTGCAGCAGCATGCCTCCTCGGCCGCTGCGGCCGCCGCAGCCGCGGCCGCCGCCGCCGCGATGTTGAACCCAGGGCAGCAGCAGCCGTACTTCCCATCCCCGGCCCCGGGCCAGGCCCCCGGACCGGCTGCAGCAGCCCCAGCTCAGGTACAGGCTGCAGCAGCTGCTGCAGTCAAAGCGCACCATCATCAGCACTCACAACATCCACAGCAGCAACTGGACATTGAGCCGGACAGACCCATCGGATACGGAGCCTTTGGTGTTGTCTGGTGAGTAGAGACAAAAGTGAACCGATACCTCCTTGTCATTCTTTACCTGGTCATAACTCATCCTTGTTTTTGTCATTTGAATCAGAATACAAGAGAGCTGCTTACTAAGAGCTTTTTTGCTGGTTCTTCTCCGTTCTTAGAAAGTTGCTTCGCTTGTTTGCGTTGGCAGAACGAGGTTCCCGGTGGTGAGGAGCCACCTCTGACTAACAGCCCACCCTGCCGTTCTCTTCTGAGACAATACAGCTTGTTTATGCCCTTTCTGTACCTTTAATTAGAGCGTGCATCCGTGCAGCTAAGCCGTGCTTCCTAAAATTTCAGGTTAACAAATGAGCATTAGAATATTCATTTTGACCTGGCTTAAGAGTCAGAAATGAAAAGCGTATGAAAATGTCTTCCTTGTGCAGTCACCTGTCAAGATCTTTGTCTCACGGCGGTTTGACCTGCGGTAGTGCTGTGTGCTACCTAAAACAGCACAGCTGAACTTTGCTCCCCTCTCAAAAATGGAAATGGGATTTCCTGCCTCACTGTAGCTCTGCCTCCGGCCCTTTTATCCCCCAGCCGCGTTTCAGAGGAGTCTGTCAGCAGAGTGGAATCTCTCCTAATGTATTTTGTGACTACCTTAGAGCCATGTATGTAATTAGTGCCCTTCAGGAGCGCTGACACAAAGCTGGCAGCAGTGTATATATATATATTTGTATATAAATGTTTCTCAGCGTGCCCTATTCGGAGCTGTGCTGGGAAGCATGAAGGCTGGCAGGGGGTTGTTTGGAGAGCAGGCGTGTTGCAGTGCACTTCCTGCAGCACGAATGCAAAGTTTGCAGCTGTGTGTGGTGTCCCAGCCCTCTGCAGCGTTCCCAGCCCAGCCTCTGGGGTGCCCCAGGAGTTTTGCTTTAGGCAGTGGCCGAGCTGCAGCTTCAGTGGGAGGAGTGGCCGGGTCACGGTGTGTGCCAGGCAGAGGCAGAGGGCTCAGCAGGGCAGGCCTCAGGAGAGCAGAACCCCTTCTGCCTGCAGCCCAGCCCTTCAGGGTGGCCACGCGTCACCAGCCCAGTGCTGGTAGCAAATGGTGCTTTCTGAGGAGGCCGAGGGAGCTGCAGGAGCGAGGTGCAGGTCAGTGCTGTGGTTGCTCTCGTGTGCCTTCCCTCAGAGCTGGGGAGTTAATTTAAACGCCGAGTTCTCCCTGTCGGAGGGGAGCTGTTGTGCAGTCAGCACTGCCGTGCTCTGGCTGTGGTACAGCATTAAAAAGTGGGTGTAAAAGAATGAAAACTGACAAGGAATCTGCTTAAAAAAATTATCTGAAGGTATTTCCATCAGTTTGTATATTTTTTAAAAGTATGGAGTTTTATAACTTAATTTGTTAAGGTCTTTGCTTAAATTCATGTCGTTATGTAAGATCAGCCCTTTTTACTGGTGTTTTGTTTGCCTCTGCATTTTCCGGGTCTTTATTTTCCCAGTTCTGTTCACCAAAAAAGAAGGTGCAGAGAGAGATCTGCTTCCACAGTATTCAGTAGAATGAAAGGTCACGCTTGCATATTTAAATATAATATCATTAAGGGTGCTGGAGGGAGAAAGGAGGAATAGAGGGAAGGGTCTGACTGACATCAGGTAGGAAAGGCAATGCCAAAAGCATCTGCCCATCCTGAGCCCTGGGCTGCGCACCTGCGGCCGCCCGCAGGACCTGCCCCTGAGGGACTGTGCCTGCAGAGCTGCAACTACAGCTCTGCTTGGAGCTTACAACAGCTTGGGAAAGAGAAAACAACAAAGGGGGAGGGTGTCAGCTAAAAGCAGAAGCTGGGAGCTGGGATCCCTCCGGCTGCACTGGCTCAGGATGTCATTGGTGGGAGTGAGTTCCTCTTTGCTCACGTGTGTTTGAATTCAGTGGTCACTGCTTAGCTTTTGGCATTTCACGTTAACTTCTGCTGGTGAGTGCAGGCTCAATTTAGGAGTCTGTAAGCAGTAATTAAACTGAATTTTAGTTTCATTCAAAATGTGGCAGAATGCCCATGTAATTGAATTTTAGCTATGTGAGATAAAGTAAACACTGACTTGAGTATTTATAGTTTGAGGTGACTTGGACATGAGCGATGTGCACTTGGGTTCAGGCGTGACATGGGGTTCACAAAGCCTGAGTGACTTTGGAAGGAGGATTTGTTGTTTCTCAGTACCTTGTCTGAGCATTATTTGTGCTAATAGATAACTGAAAAGTTTTTATGCGTGCTTCTGAGGGAAATGGATGTTATTGCATAGACAGTTGGGGTATTTGCAGAAGTCTTTCATCTTGTGCTCTGGTGTGTCACTGCTTTGTTGGGGAGGCACAGCTGACCTGAGCTCAGTTCAGTGAGAGATCAGCGTGTGGCGTTCACTTCCCGTTACCTCACCGAGAGAGATTTTCTCTTGGCAGTTGAATTAGCATTTGTCATTAGTTCATTTGTCTGCTGCTCGATGATGTTTCGGGGTGGCTGATGTGCTGCTGGAGTTTCTCACTCGTGAAGAGCCAAAGCCTGGTGCTTCAGCACTTTGGTTATTAACCCCTGCGGGCGGGTGCTGCTGCTGCAGGGGTCTGTGCGCACAGGCCGTGTCCTCGCTCAGCTGGGCACCTCTGCTGTGGAAATCGGCTGTCCTGGCACAGCAGCTGCTCTGCCTGCTGCCCTGCGGCTGGGAGGGTGTTGCTGAGCAGGGGCAGGTGTGCAGGGACTTTCCCCAGGTCCTGCAGGTTTGTTTCCCCACGCTCTGGTTTGGTGAATTGCTGCAAACCCAGTCGTGTTCCTCATTTGCCAAAAGCAGAGTGATTTGCTCTTGGAGTGTTCCCTGCTCTCATGTTCCTATAGTGCTGAAAAAATCCAGATTTTAATGTCAGCGACAAGCTCTGTCTGTGTCCTGTGGTTCAGACTGAGTAGGGCTGAGTTTGGGAAGTCTTGTGTCTGTTCCAAGAATGAGGAGCTGTCCTTTGGAGAAGTGCTCCCAGTTTTGCTGGGGAGACATGCTGCTGCCATCTGGTGGGATTCCTAAAAAAATAATAATAATGATAATT